CCTCTATTCGACATTGGTGAGGCCTCATCTGGAGTACTGTGTCCAGTTTTGGGCCCCACACTTCAAGAAGGATGTGGATAAATTGGAGAGAGTCCAGCGAAGGGCAACAAAAATGATTAGGGGTCTGGAACACATGAGTTATGAGGAGAGGCTGAGGGAGCTGGGATTGTTTAGCCTGCAGAAGAGAAGAATGAGGGGGGATTTGATAGCTGCTTTCAACTACCTGAAAGGGGGTTCCAAAGAGGATGGCTCTAGACTGTTCTCAGTGGTAGCAGATGACAGAACGAGGAGTAATGGTCTCAAGCTGCAGTGGGGGAGGTTTAGATTGGATATTAGGAAAAACTTTTTCACTAAGAGGGTGGTGAAACACTGGAATGCGTTACCTAGGGAGGTGGTAGAATCTCCTTCCTTAGAGGTTTTTAAGGTCAGGCTTGACAAAGCCCTGGCTGGGATGATTTAACTGGGAATTGGTCCTGCTTCGAGCAGGGGGTTGGACTAGATGACCTTCTGGGGTCCCTTCCAACCCTTATATTCTATGATTCTATGACCCAGACCCCAGGCCAATGTCTGCAACAGCAGTAGTGGATCCAGTTCCAGAGACCCAGACGGAACCAGTCCCAGAACCGGAACCAGCCGAACAACCAACACCAGACCCAGTGTCAGCACTGAATCCAATACTTGCAACCTCAACACCAGAGGGCCCCACCGACCCTGAACTGGCAGCAGCCAATAACCCGACCCAAGAGGCTCAGCCGGAGCCTGAATTCCAACATAGTGCACCAGCGGAGAGCGGTTCACAGTCAACAGAAACCGCTCCATCCCCTATATCGCTTCCAGAGGGACCAAGCCTAGGTCCACAATCCAATGAGGAACTGATGTCTCCAGCATCAAGGGAACAGTTCCAGACCGAACAGGGAGCAGATGAAAGCCTCCAGAGAGCTTGGACGGCGGCACTGAGCAACCCACCGCCTCTCAGCTCTTCTAATCGATCCAGGTTTGTTGTAGAAAGAGGACTTTTATACAAGGAAACTCTTTCTGGGGGACACCAGGAAGACTGGCATCCTCAGAGACAGTTGATAGTTCCAACTAAATACCGGGCCAAGCTCTTGAGCTTAGCCCATGATCACCCTAGTGGCCATGCTGGGGTGAACAGGACCAAAGACCGTTTGGGGGGGGGTCATTCCACTGGGAGGGAATGGGCAAGGATGTTTCTACCTATGTCCAGTCTTGTGAGGTGTGCCAAAGAGTGGGAAAACCCCAAGACCAGGTCAAAGCCCCTCTCCAGCCACTCCCCATCATTGAAGTTCCATTTCAGCGAGTAGCTGTGGATATTCTGGGTCCTTTTCCGAAAAAGACAGCCAGAGGAAAGCAGTACATACTGACTTTCATGGATTTTGCCACCCGATGGCCGGAAGCAGTAGCTCTAAGCAACACCAGGGCTAAAAGTGTATGCCAGGCACTAGCAGACATTTTTGCCAGGGTAGGTTGGCCCTCCGACATCCTCACAGATGCAGGGACTAATTTCCTGGCAGGAACTATGAAAAACCTTTGGGAAGCTCATGGGGTAAATCACTTGGTTGCCACTCCTTACCACCATCAAACAAATGGCATGGTGGAGAAGTTTAATGGAACTTTGGGGGCCATGATACGTAAATTCGTAAATGAGCACTCCAATGATTGGGACCTAGTGTTGCAGCAGTTGCTCTTTGCCTACAGAGCTGTACCACATCCCAGTTTAGGGTTTTCCCCATTTGAACTTGTATATGGCCGTGAGGTTAAGGGGCCATTGCAGTTGGTGAAGCAGCAATGGGAGGGATTTACACCTTCTCCAGGAACTAACATTCTGGACTTCGTAACCAACCTACAAAACACCCTCCGAACCTCTTTAGCCCTTGCTAGAGAACTTACAGGATGCTCAAAAAGAGCAAAAAGCCTGGTATGATAAACATGCCAGAGAGCGTTCCTTCAAAGTAGGAGACCAGGTCATGGTCTTAAAGGCGCTCCAGGCCCATAAAATGGAAGCATCGTGGGAAGGGCCATTCATGGTCCAGGAGCGCCTGGGAACTGTTAATTATCTCATAGCATTCCCCACCTCCAACCGGAAGCCTAAGGTGTACCATATTAATTCTCTAAAGCCCTTTTATTCCAGAGAATTAAAGGTTTGTCAGTTTACAGCCCAGGGAGGAGACGACGCTGAGTGGCCTGAAGGTGTTTACTACGAAGGGAAATGTGCTGGTGGTGTGGAAGAGGTGAACCTCTCCATGACCCTTGGGCGTATGCAGCGACAGCAGATCCAGGAGCTGTGCACTAGCTACGCGCCAACGTTCTCAGCCACCCCAGGACTGACTGAACGGGCATACCACTCCATTGACACAGGTAATGCTCACCCAATTAGGGTCCAACCTTACCGGGTGTCTCCTCAAGCTAAAACTGCTATAGAACGGGAGATCCAGGATATGTTACAGATGGGGGTAATCCGCCCCTCTGAAAGTGCATGGGCATCTCCAGTGGTTCTAGTTCCCAAACCAGATGGGGAAATACGTTTTGCGTGGACTACCGTAAGCTAAATGCTGTAACTCGCCCAGACAACTATCCAATGCCACGCACAGATGAACTATTAGAGAAACTGGGACGGGCCCAGTTCATCTCTACCTTGGACTTAACCAAGGGGTACTGGCAGGTACCGCTAGATGAATCTGCCAAGGAAAGGTCAGCCTTCATCACACATCTCGGGCTGTATGAATTTAATGTACTCCCTTTTGGGCTGCGAAATGCACCCGCCACTTTCCAAAGACTTGTAGATGGTCTCCTAGCGGGATTAGGAGAATATGCAGTCGCCTACCTTGACGATGTGGCCATATTTTCGGATTCCTGGGCAGACCACCTGGAACATCTACAAAAAGTCCTTGAGCGCATAAGGGAGGCAGGACTAACTGTTAAGGCTAAGAAGTGTCAAATAGGCCTAAACAGAGTGACTTACCTTGGACACCAGGTGGGTCAAGGAACTATCAGCCCCCTACAGGCCAAAGTGGATGCTATCCAAAAGTGGCCTGTCCCAAAGTCAAAGAAACAGGTTCAATCCTTCTTAGGCTTGGCCGGTTATTACAGACGATTTGTACCGCACTACAGCCAAATCGCTGCCCCACTAACAGACCTAACCAAAAAGAAACAGCCAAATGCTGTTCAGTGGACCGAAAAGTGTCAGAAGGCCTTTAACAAGCTTAAAGCGACACTCATGTCTGACCCTGTACTAAGGGCCCCAGACTTTGACAAACCGTTCCTAGTAACCACGGATGCGTCCGAACGTGGTGTGGGAGCAGTTTTAATGCAGAAAGGACCTGATCAAGAATTCCACCCTGTAGTGTTTCTCAGCAAAAAACTGTCTGAGAGGGAAAGCAACTGGTCAGTCACTGAAAAAGAATGTTACGCCATTGTCTACGCTCTGGAAAAGCTACGCCCATATGTTTGGGGACGGCGTTTCCACCTGCAAACCGACCATGCTGCACTGAAGTGGCTTCACACCGTCAAGGAAACTAACAAAAAACTTCTTCGGTGGAGTTTAGCTCTCCAAGATTTTGATTTCGACATCCAACACATCTCAGGAGCTTCTAACAAAGTGGCTGATGCACTCTCCCGTGAAAGTTTCCCAGAATCAACTGGTTAAAATCGTCCTTGAGATGTGGAAAATATTGTTAGTCTTTATGTACTTGGTAGTATATTTAGAGATGCATGTGTCTTATTAACTCTGTTTTTCCTAGAGCTCCAGGAAGAAATCCCAGCCAGTGTTTCACCCTAGCTGAGATTTGGGGGCGTGTCATAAATATAAAGGGAAGGGTAAACCCCTTTGAAATCCCTCCTGGCCAGGGGAAAGCTCCTCTCACCTGTAAAGGGTTAAGAAGCTAAAGGTAACCTCGCTGGCACCTGACCAAAATGACCAATGAGGAGACAAGATACTTTCAAAAGCTGGGAAGAGGGAGAGAAACAAAGGGTCTGTGTCTGTCTGTATGCTGGTCTTTGCCAGGGACAGAACAGGAATGGAGTCTTAGAACTTTTAGTAAGTAATCTAGCTAGGTATGTGTTAGATTATGATTTCTTTAAATGACTGAGAAAAGAATTGTGCTGAATAGAATAACTATTTCTGTCTGTGCATCTTTTTTGTAACTTAAGGTTTTGCCTAGAGGGGTTCTCTATGTTTTTGAATCTAATTACCCTGCAAGATATCTACCATCCTGATTTTACAGGGGGGATTTCTTCATTTCTATTTACTTCTATTTTTATTAAAAGTCTTCTTGTAAGAAACTGAATGCTTTTTCATTGTTCTCAGATCCAAGGGTTTGGGTCTGTGGTCACCTATGCAAATTGGTGAGGCTTTTTATCCAACATTTCCCAGGAAAGGGGGGGTGCAAGTGTTGGGAGGATTGTTCATTGTTCTTAAGATCCAAGGGTCTGGGTCTGTAGTCACCTAGGCAAATTGGTGAGGCTTTTTACCAAACCTTGTCCAGGAAGTGGGGTGCAAGGTTTTGGGAAGTATTTTGGGGGGAAGGACGTGTCCAAACAGCTCTTCCCCAGTAACCAGTATTAGTTTGGTGGTGGTAGCGGCCAGTCCAAGGACAACGGGTAGAATATTTTGTACCTTGGGGAAGTTTTGACCTAAGCTGGTAAAGATAAGCTTAGGAGGTTTTTCATGCAGGTCCCCACATCTGTACCCTAGAGTCCAGAGTGGGGGAGGAACCTTGACAGACACCGTTTCCCACTGATGAGAAACTTGGAATCCAGCGAGTGCTCGGACCCACAGACAGCAGCCCAGGGCTTAATTTGTAATCAAAGAGGTGCTGCGGCTATGAACTGCCAGGCCCAGAGGTGCCGGGGCTATGAACTGCCAGGTTCGGAGGTGCCAGGGCTCAGCCCTGGCACAAATTAGCCCCGAGCAGCCCCTGTTCACTCCCACCCCTGTCCCACCCCTAGACCCTGCAGCAGGGCTGCGTGGAGCCAGCTCTCACCTTGGTGCGGTCGGGGTCACAGAAATCTAGCAGCGTGTCGCAAATGTGATAGCCCAGAGATTTGAGATCCTCTGAGGTGAAGTGGGAGTCGCTCTTCCTGCCTGAAAGAGGGGCAGAGACAGGGTGAGGGCCCTGGATTCACAGTACACCAGTCTGGTCCTGGCGCCCGCCTTTCCACCCCACCACATTCTTGGGGTTTGCCCAGCAGAGGGCACACACAGCAGCACAACCCACGTTCCCCAAGCTGCTCTCCCTGCTATTGGGGCCCTTTGGCTCCATGGCACTTTAGATCTCAATGCAGCCATGTGACAAAGTGGGGATTTTCTGTGTTTTGTATGAATACCGTATGTGCCTCAGTTTCCCCTCTATGCTGCATGGTTAACTAGGGGTGGGAAAAGGCTGTTGACTCTCGGGCAGGCTATGAGAAAGGTGTGGCTGGTACTTGCTGTCTCAGGTTTGGGGCCCAGGCCATTGGAGAGTCCATGGAGGCAATGGCAAATGGCAGGACATTTGGTACTTAGCAACGACAATGGATGGCCCAGTCCTCCACAGGCAGCCAGCCGTGTGTGACCAGCTGGTTAACAAAGGACTGAGGAGGGGCCAGGTTGGGAATTGGGACACAGGGGCACATAGGGACAGAAGGGGAGCCAAGGGGGTCATGCCGTGTGGCTGGGGCTCTGGGGATCCAGAATGGACCAAGCCATAACTTTCTTTTCTCTGTGCTAACCAAGGACTTGCCATGCCTTGGTCCAGATGCTACTGACCCTGCTGCTTTTACAGCCGTGGCTGAGCCACAGCACATGCTAAGCTGGGGGGTGCCCTGCTCCCTCGGGTGCCCAGCTCAGGCGAACTCGCTGAAGGGAGCTTGCGGCGTGAAACGAGTGCTTGAGGCTTAGAGCTTCAGTCCTGGGAGGCGGTAACAGAGTAAGACCTGAAGGGGGGTCTGGCGCCCTGAAAGGGGTCCTCCCAAACTGTCCCAGAGCTGCTCCAGAGCACTGGACCTGTGGCTCCATGCCATGCAGCAAAGCCGACAGGGCACTGAAAGGGTAGGGCTGTCCTGAGCAATGTGCCTAGCTGGCACCATGCAGCACTGGGATTTAGCTCTGCCTTCAGGCCACTCTTTGCTGCCAGACCTCTCCCCTGCTGTCTGCATGCAACTCAGCCCCCGCACTCACCTCCTGCTCCCACTTCTTGGGGCCACACAGCCCTAGAGCCTCAGGGCTTGTCTATGCATGCAGCAATGCGCACTCTGGGCTGTGGATGCCGAGGTGCCCTGAAGTGTTGGGCACAAGTAGGGTCCACACCAGTCAGTGAGTGCACGAGTGGGGTTGGGAATTCACACCCACATGCGCCCTGCTGCACCATGTAGACAAGCCCCTAGACTCCAAGGCCAGAAGGGACCATTGTGATCATCTCATCTGACCTCCTGTATTGCACAGACCAGAGAACCGCCCCGAAATAACTCCTGGTTGAACCAGAGCAGAGCTTTTAGAAACACATCCAGTCTGGATCTGAAAATTCCCTGGGGTGGAGAATCCACCAGGACCCTTGGGAAGCTGTCTCATTGGTTAATTACATTGTTGAAAATGTGCCCCTTATTTCAGTCGGAATTAGTCTCGCTTCAACTTCCAGCCATTGGAACGTCCAGCCTCCTTCTCTCCACATCCCTTCTCTCCCTCCTCGGTGCTGTCACCTTCCTCACCGCCTGCACCCCCTCCCCACAACCCCACCGCTGACCTGCACCCTTCGGCTCCCCCCACCTGCCCCCAACTCTGGGCAGGATCTCGCCAGCTCTCTGAGTGAAGATGGACACACCCTGCTGAGGCCTGCCCCTGCCCCTCCTCCATCTCCTTGCTCATTGGCACAGAGGCTTCTCCATCCCTAGCCCCACCGCCCCCTTGATCCCATCCCCTCCCCGCTAACTTCCCTGTGCCCCACTTTCATCCCTCCCCGCATCCTCCCCTCCCAGCTCAAGCACACTGCTCCCCCAGGCTCAGAAAGCCAGCCCTCGCCTCTCAGCCCTGCAACCCTCTTCTCCCACTCCCCCCTGGACCCCCCACTAGCCCTCTCCACTCCGCTCCCAGCAGTCTCTGGGCTGCTGCAGCCCCATCTCCCTTCGTCTCCAAGGCATTTCCCCTGGTGCCTCCCCACCTTGCCCCGCCAGGCGTTCCAGGCTCTGCCCTCCCCAGTTCTCCTCCCACCTCTCTGGCTGCCCCACCTGGAGCGAGCAGAGGGGCCGGGCCTCCCTCCAGTGCCAAGGGGGTTAATTCCCTGGGGAGGCGCAGCTGAGCCCACCCTGCCCCCCCCGAAAAAGTGTAGGGGGGGCGGAAGAATAAGAGCAGCCGGGCCCTGCCTGCAGTGTTGCAGCGGATGGGAAGGAGGCAGACAGTGATTCAGGGAGCCGAGCCCAGCCCAGCCCAGCCCAGCCCGAGGAGGCTGGAGGAAGGGCCGACCGGCTGTAAGCCACAGAGTGACACATTGCTCTGGTCGTGCACAAGGTAGCAACCGCTTGTTTCCCCACTGACCCTGTGGGCCCCGGGCTAGGACCCTGTGCAGCAGCGTGGACCTGGGGTCCCCAGTCTCGGGGGCTGGCCAGGCGCAAAACCTTAGGCCGGGACGCCTAGCCAGTGACTGGCTCGTTGCTCAGCCCCCATCCCTGCCCCAGCCAGGAGAGTGAGACCATAGCCCGTTTCAGTGCTCAGCCCCCACACCCCAAGAGGCCAGAGTCCTAGCGTGTTTGGGGTGCCCCCAACCAGGGACCGGGGATTCCCGCCGACTGGCAGTGTGTGCTGGGTCCTCTAGTGGAGACCAGTCCAGAAGGGCTCACTGGGCTGATGCGTAGCCGCAGGTCAGGCCGCCTGACGAATTTCTGGCTGGCCTGCTGACTCCTTCTTGTCCCCAGAAGGGGGTGCCCTTACCCCAAGAGGGAGGAACCCTACAACTTGTTGGAGAACACAGACCTTACACACATCCCCCCCCACCCCGAGTCGAGGGGACAAGCTAAGGGTGAACTACAACGCTCCCCATGGAAATGGGATTGAAGGAAGGAGTACCCAACCATGACATGGTGGATATGGAGATGCTGATAAGGTGGCTCACAGAGAGCCAGCAGCAGCAGCTTCTTCAGCAGCTGGGCAGTCAGCAACAACAATTAATCCGAGAGTTGGGGGCCCAGCACCAACAGCAGCAGCAGCAGTGTTTGCAGCAGCTTGCTGCTCCGCTCCCGATCCTTGCAGGCCCCAGTTCTGATGGAGAAGCGACCCCAACCAGCTCTGTGGTGCCCTTTCACCTAGCTAAGATGGGGCCCAATGATGATCCAGAGGCCTTTCTGGTCACATTCGAGCGGGTTGCCTCAGCACCTAAGTGGCCCCCTGAGCAATGGGCCACCCTTTTGGCTCCATACCTAACGGGTCCAGCTCAGGCTGTGTACTGCAGGCTCTCGGTGGTTGATGCCCAAGACTATGGGTGCCTGAAAAGTGCCATCCTCGATGCCCTCGACATCACGCCTGAGACCTTCCGGCAACGACTGAAGGGAAGGACATATCCACCAGGGGCCAGACCAAGGATGGTGGCTTAGCAGCTACAGGATGCATGCTGGAGGTGGCTACAGCCCAAGCAGCGTAAAGGAGCTGAGGTTGCTGAGCAGGTGGTTCTCGAGCAATTTGTACACATCCTTCCATCCCAAGGAAGGTCATGGATCCTTTGCTATCAGCCAGCAACACTGAACGAGGCTCTCTTCCTTATGGAAAATTTTTTGGCTGCTGAGATCCCTGTCGGCCTTGGGCTTCCACACCGGCAACCTCACTAACAAAAGAGGAGAGGCTGTGAAGTCAGGGAAACAGGCCTGGCCTTGACCCAAAACGCCCTGATGGAAGAGACATCACCAATAATCAGCGGTCGTCCAAGGCATCTAGGAGAGCCCCCAGCCATAGTGGGGAAATCCCAAATCCCAGGCAAGTTGACCCACTTGACAAAATCCAAGAACAGGCCCAGACACTCTGAAATTGGCCCATGTTTCACCTGTGGCCGTTTCAGCCATCTCTGCCGTGAATGTCCAAGGGCAGGTAGCTTTGGGCAGGTCTGGATCGGCAAAGCTCAAGCCCAAAAACAACCCTCTGGTAAGCTGATGATCCCAGTGGAAGTTGATGGGGTACGGGTTTCCGCACTCGTAGACTCAGGGTGTGGGCAGACACTCATCCGCCAGGACCTCATTAAGACTCCAGGCCTGCCAGAGGGGATGATTCACGTTCAGTGCATTCATGGCGATGTGAAGCCTTATCACAGTGACTTGGGCATTGTGATGATGAATGGTGAGACTAGAACCCTGAGTGTAGGCCTGGCTTCAAAACTAGCATACCCCATTATCCTGGGCCATGACAGGAGGGGATTTGCAAAGGTCCTACACGCTGCAAGTCCTGAGTCCAACTGTCCGGAGTCAGCCATTGAACAAGACCTCCTTGAAGGGGAAGGGGAGACACCCACTGACCCTGGCACCAGCAGTGGGGAACACCAAGATAGTGAGCTTGACATCCTGGATGAGGAGGCCACCCCCAGGCAACCCAGCAGTGAAGAGATGTGGAATTTGGGGGCCAGCTTTGCCCAAGATCAATGGGAAGACCCCACACTCAGTCAAACCTACAAACAGGTAACCAGCATCAACGGGGAAAGTCATGGAACCTCACCGGGCAGGAAAGTACCCCCAGTTTGAATTGATGGGTGACCACCTGTACATATTGACCATGACCCACAGACCCAAGAAATCTGGGCTCAGTTGGTGGTATCATCCTGTGACTCACCTGTGATGTCCCTGCCACAGGACATCTGGGCCATGAGAAAACAATGGCCCTAGTTCTGGCCCACTTTTTCTGGCTGGGGGTGCACCAAGAAGTTAGAGACTTCTGTAATTCCTGTCCAGAGTGCCAGCTCCCCACCCCGCAAGGAGTACCAAAGGCCTGCCTCGTCCCACTCCCATTAATGGGGAACCCCCTTTGAGAGGGTTGCCATGACTTGGTGGGCACCCCTCACAAAAAGCATCACCAAGTTCAAGTACATCTTGGTGGTCCTGCACTACGCCACCTGATTCCCGGAGGCAATTTCCCCTCAAGAACACTAAAATGCAAACCATCACCTTGGAGTTGCTCAAGATCGTTGTCTGAGTAGGCCTTCCTGGGGAAATCTTGACAGACCAGGCAAAGAACTTTACATTATAGCTGCTCCACCAGGTCTACGATTTACTAAGGAGTTAAAAAACTTGGGCCCTCTGGCTATCCTCTGCAGACTGACGGCTTAGCGGAGTGCTTCACAGGACCCTCAAGGCTATGTTGTGTAAATTTTCCCCAAAGGAGCTCTGCTATTGGGACCAACTCATCCCGCCACTACTACTTGCTATCTGGGAGGATCCCCGGTCATCAACACAGTTCTCCCCCTTTGAACTATTGTAGCAGCTGCGGGGACTTCTGGACCTCATGCAGGAGAGTGGGGAACAGGTACTATCCCCATAGCAGGGCCTCCTACAATATGTCTTGGAGCAAGAAGGGGCCCTAGTGAGGGAAAATCCATGCAGCGTGCAGAAGGCCCAGGAGCAGACATACAACAAGGGAGCCCATAGAGAACTTTCTAACCCAGCGAGAGGGTCCTGCTCCTGCTTGCCTCAGTGGAATCAAATCTACTGGCACAGCGGCAGGGGCCCTCTGAGATTATCTGCTGGGTAGGGCCAGTCACCTATAAAATCTAGCAGCCCAACAGCAAAAGAAACAGCAAGTCTACCATGTAAATCTCCTCAAGCTGTGGAGGGAGCAAGAGGGGCTGTAGGCTGGTACCACCCCAGAGGCGCTGGTGGTGCCAGCCCAACTGAGCTCTGTCCCAGCTTGATGAGGGGAATCAGGCAGAACTCCTGAAGGGCAGGGGACAGCCTTGTTCCAGCAAAACTCTTATTTCCCAGCGCCCCAGCTCCCTCCCAGCCCAGCTACATGTTAGGATAGTGCTGCCCTTACCCAGAGTTGAGCCGCTGAAGGTGGACTCCATGGTGTAGCTGTTGGGGATTCCCATCCTCCACATCACAATCCGTCCCGTCCCTTCTTTACTCTTCTGGACCTTAAACTTACAGCTGTGGAAAGAAAACTACAAAGCCCCGGGTGGGTCAGCGCGGATGTGGGGCAGAAAGAGATCCTGGCTCTACCCCAAGGTGGGACTGCTCCTGACAGACAACCCCTTTTCCAGGGGTCCCCATGTCCCAACTGGGGGGCTTTCCTCATTTCCCTTGGGGACACTATTCCACAGTCAACAGCCCCCTCAGCATTAGGAAGCTTTTCCTGATACTCAGCCCACTCATTCCTTACACAGCCCCATCCTGTTTCTCCTAATTCCCGTGCCTTTTGGCCACCCAACACTAGCAGGCTGGCGTAGCGACACGGCATTAAGATTTACTGTAACTACCCTGCCAGCACTAGCCTCTTAGCACAACTTTGTCCCTAGCCTCATTCTTGGAAACTGCTGAATAATTTTTGCTGAAACAATCCAAAAATTTCCACCCAAGACAGAAAGCTGCTAGGACAAGTTCCTGCCCCAATGGCTAAAACCCAGAAAAATTATACCCAGCTGAAAACCAGGGCTTGGAATGGGACGGGTTGGGGAACCTCCCCTTAGCGTATGTTGCAAACACGCTTCCTACAGAAACACTAGGGAGAGGATCCTACCCCTACAAAGCCAAGGGGAGCTTTGCCACTGATGTCAGTGGGGCCAGGGCATTCTGTGTTGCAAAGAGAACAAGTCTAAAGGTAGGAGATGCCAGATTGAAGGTTGCCTGTGCACCCTTCACCCCACTGCCAGTGCAGATTCAGTCCCTGGCTGTACATACAGTGGTAACTGGGGGATTGCATACTGCTTTCTCCACAGGGGCCCTGGCCCTAGGTCCCTTCAGCCCTGAATCACCCTTGTGCTCTTGGGGAGCCTGCGCTCTACACTATAGGGGCAGCTCTGTTGTGCCCCAGAACAGCACCAAAGCCTTCCTGGCTCTGTGATGTGATATTTTTTTTTAAATTCCCCCCACACCCCCCCCCGACCCCCCAACAGTTGGCACATGAGCAGCTGGCTCCAAGAGACTCCAGGCAAAACTGGGACTCCTATGCGGAGATGCCCAGGCCTCGCAGCCAGGCCCCCACCCAGCCCATGGTGGCCAGTGAGGGGGCTCCAAGAGCAGAGACGATCCTTCTCCTCCGGGCTGGATGCATGCAGAGAAGGGCTGTGGGGAACTCCTTCCCTTCCTGTGGGCTGCTCCCACACCCACCTTGTCAGGGGCGTTCTTGCTGAGCATGAGTGGGAAGATGCGCTCATGGAGCCACTGGGAAGGAGCGCTCTTGTTGTTGCAGCCGTACATGAAGACATTGTTCTTGCGGCTGTGCCCATGGAAGTCACAGTACAGCAGAACCTCCCGCTCCTCCAGGACTCTGCACAAAGGAAGAAATCCAGAGCCAATTACACATGTGTACAGATGCATGTATGTAACCATCTGTGGCCCACAGGTGGTATCACAGACTCCTCAATTCAGGAGGAAATTAACACTCCATCCCCAATGCCGCAGAGAGCCACATAAAATCTGTCCCAGAGGGATGATGCTTCTCAGACCTGGGCTCTGCCCAGAGACAGATTATTCTGGCAAAGTTTGTACAGAGCCAGTTTTGAGCTGCAAAAATGTGCAGATGGGAGAGTTCTGCTTCAGAAGTCATTCAGGGTATGTCTACACTGCACTTAGACACCCGTGACTGGCTTGTTCCAGCTCAGTCAGGCTCACAGGGCTTGGGCTAAGGGGCTGCTTAATTGCAGCATAGACATTATATAGCGCATACTAATGAATCTCAAGTAGAGACTCGCATTGACAGACAGTTGCAAACTACCTGCCCCAACTATTGCAGGAGCAGCTACCTCATTGTATGAAGCTGATGTAGTGGCCCCTTGCTATAATTTATCCTGCATAAGAAACATTAATCCTGTTCTTCAGGTTAGAAATAACAGATGCTGAAAGCCAATAAACTGAAAATCAAAGCCTGCTTTATATCTGTTAAATCCTGCTTGCTTTAGAGAACCCTAGTTGATTCAGGAAACACCTGCTAAATTCCATCGTTTGGGGCTGTGGTTACAAAGACGTATTTCATTTTTTGAAGTAAATTAGTGAAGGTGATACTTGTACGGGGATCTGTTAATAAAACCAAATGAATGGGTGCAAAAGGGAACATAACACCTGACTGTGAATTCAGGGCTAAAGGGAAATTTTAGCAGTTATCACATTTGATGCAAAAGTGAAGTGGTATCATTTGAGAATCATCACAGAATAACTGGGGAGCGGAAGAGAGAAGCTTCTGGGTTAGAGGGGACCCTGGGGCACACAATAATTAATAATAAAACCTAGCTTTTATCCAGCACTTTTCATCAGTAAATTTCAAAGCGCTTTGCAGAGCAGGTCAGTCTCATTATCCCCATTGTCCCAGGTGGGGAAACTGAGGCACAGAGAGGGGACGTGCCGTGCCGAAGGTCACCCACCAGGCCAGTGGCAGAGCCAGAAATAGACCCCCAGATCTCCCGAATCTCAGACGAGTGCTCTAGCTGCGAGGCAGCACTGCCTCTGTAAAAGTAGAATTCAGTTGAAAATTGGCAGACCTGCCTAGCAGTACTACTGACATCCGTGACAGTTTACACCAGCAGACCACCTGGCCCCTGAGCTCTCATACAGCTGAGCAGCCATGGGTAGGTTTTCTACAGTTGCACATTATAAAATTTCTATTATTCATTTTTTTTTAAATGAGGGAACCCAAAAAATTTTAAATTCAAAGAACATTACTAAGGCTTCAAAGTCAAGTGGAGAACAGTTAGGAAATGCCAGAATTAAACCTGCCTGTGCAACCTTCACTCTGCCCCCCTTGTGCATCTATAATTACCTGATCGCATGCTGTTTTTTCCACAGGACTCCTGCCTCATTCAGTGCACAGGACAGACTGCATTCAGGTCTGTGCAGCGAACGAGGCTGTTGTCTGTAGCACCCTACCCCATTTGCTGCAGATGTAGGAGTGTGTGTCCGGAACGAGGCACGGGACTGCAGGAAGAAAATGGAGAATCCAGCTCCTTTGCAAGATTCTCCCTGGCTGGGCAAGCCACTTTCACACACATGTCTGCCGGTGACCATTAATTGCGTGTTCTCCATTTTATAGTTGTCTGGACAGGGACACCTCAGGGCTCGTTTTTGAGAGAGCTGAGCACTTGCACTGCAACAGGGTGTCATAGGGAGCTGTGGGGGCTCAGCACTTCTGACAAATCAGCCTCAAGAGAGCTCAAGTTTGGCACCCAAACCTAACCACCAGTTTTGCCCATATTGGCCGTCATCTCTGTGTGCCTCGGTTTCCCCATTTGTAGAATGAGGATCACAATACCACTCACCAGAGAGATGTGAAGGTAAATACATTACAGTTTGCAACACCCAGTGATGAACATCACAGAACACGGATATGCAAGGGCAACCTTAGTAGTGTGCCCCTTTGTGAGTTTGCATTTTTGATCACCTTAATTGAGGCATTTCCTTGTTTGAGACTGAATGACTTTGCAGCATTAATAATTGTCTCTTAACTTGGATGGTTATGTATGCGCTCTCTCTCTCTCTCTCTCTCTCTGTATATATATTTATAATAATCTCTCACTCTTACCTTGCACTTTCCATCCGTAAATCTCAAAGCATTTTACAAAGGGGGTCATTCTCCCCATTTTACAGAGGGGAGAACTGAGGCACAGAGCGAGGAAATGACTTTGCCCAAGGATATTCAGCAGGCTAGTGACGGAACCAGGAATAGAGCCCCACTCTCAAGTCCCAGTCCAGTGCTCTACCACTAGGCCACACTGTCTCTAATCAACAGTGTTCTCTTTACCGTGCTACGTTATGGGGCCCTAGCAGCTCTGTGCTACACACCGAGGTCAATGAGCCCTGCACCTCACCTCTGGATCATGCTCCGGGTGTGCCAGATGCAGGGGAAGGACTCCTTCAGGATGGTCTGATAGTTGCGGTTGAGATCTCTCCCGGCCAGAGAGCAGCGATAGTTCCCCACAATCACCCCATCTGGATTGAGCATGGGCACCACCTTAAATATGAAGAGCTCACGGAGGAGCTGGGCGTCGGGGGAGTCGCTCAGGATGAAGTCCAGGAAACCCCTCATCACCCATGAGCCGTTGGTCTCCCCAGGGTGCACCCTGGCGCTCAGCACCACGGCCTTCTTGGCAGCAGTGGCAGCGGGGTTTTGGGATGGGCTGGTGATGGTGAGAAGGTAGACGGTGTTGCCAGCCAGACTGCTGCACAGGACCCGCAGCTTGCAGTACTGGGAGCGGACCGGGTCGCTGACCACTGCCAGCAGGTAGCGCTGCAGGTCCGAGAAGGTGTAGGGGTAAAAGTGGGCAAAGTAGCATGTGTCATGGTCATGGGGGAAGCATGCCGTCCACGTGAGACAATACATCGCCTGTCCCTCCTCGGAGCTGCACCGATAGTACCGGATGTTGCCCCCCTCTCTCCGCCAGCCCACGCCATGTGTCTGCGCATCCCTCTGAGAGTACAGGAGTGGCTTCATCCCCATGCTGTAAAGGCTCTTGGGCTTCATCAGGTTGACAATGGAGAAGCGATAGGTGATGCCTTTCCTGGTGTTCCTGACTTGGAAGTAGAACCACTGGGTGTGCTTGTTGGTGTACAGGTCCATGCGCAGCGTCAACTCGTACTCGTACGGGCCTCTGCAAGGAGGAAAGAGAAAATGACACCTGGAGCAGTTTCTCCCTGTACACACATCTGTGTGAAGGACAGGAAAGGCCACAGGCAGACCTGCTCCATGCACATCAGCAGCCGGGCTATTGGGCTCTGCTGGAGGGGTGTTAGATACTTTGATTCAAACAGCATTCCCTAGTTACACCTGTGGTGTTGTGAAAACGGAGTTAAAATGATAAGCTACCACTCTAAATTTCAGGGAGTTTCCTGGCCCTGCTTGCAAGCTAGGGGATTACTATAGGGAAGTGTGCAATCTGGTATTTCAGCAGAGATCCAGCCTAGAGTAAGGAGGGATGAGTTGGACCTCTCTGCCTTAGAGAGCAGCCTGCTTTGTCTCACTCTGCTTTTGTGTGGTACCTTTCTGGATTCTAAGCAATAAAGTCATGTTACGTTGCAACTGTCCAGCAAGAGGATTGAGGTTTCTATCTAACTTCTCTTTGTGTAGGCTATGAACAAAGACCGAGATTTCCCCTATCTCTCAACAGTGTGCTGCCCTGTGCTAGGGAATAGGTCTTTGTTCCTAGCATTCATTACATGCAATGATATGCAAAAAGCTTAGTTAAAAGGATATTCTTTAAATGGCAACTCCAGCTCTAGATCATTAGGAAATACCAGCTTCACACGTGTCCGAGCAATCTGACCTCTGCCCCCTTGTGTGTCCGTATTATGGTACAGCCTGTAAAGACACGAGCACCTCCTATTTTCCGCACAGGATGACCCATCTCAGTCAGTGCATAGGATTCAGAGGAACAGCCGTGTTAGTCTGTATTCGCAAAAAGAAAAGGAGTACTTGTGGCACCTTAGAGACTAACCAATTTATTTGAGCATGAGCTTTCGTGAGCTACAGCTCACTTCATCAGATGCATACCGTGGAAACTGCAGCAGACTTTATATACACACAGAGAATATGAAACAATACCTCCTTTCATATTCTCTGTGTGTATATAAAGTCTGCTGCAGTTTCCACGGTATGCATCTGATGAAGTGAGCTGTAGCTCACGAAAGCTCATGCTCAAATAAATTGGTTAGTCTCTAAGGTGCCACAAGTACTCCTTTTTTTTAGTGCATAGGATGGCTCCTAAGCTTCCCTTCCCATAGACCCTGGTGCACAGGACACGGGGGCAGAGGTATTGGGACCGTTGCTGGCTGGCACAAAGTAGAGCAACTCCCAGGCTGCTCTAAACTGGGCCGAGTGCAGAGAATCCTCCTTCCCCGCTCATGGGGGCTGTGGGGAAGGGGAGCCTCTAGGCTCAGACCTGGCCCGTCAAGCCCAGTTCCTGTTCCCCCAGCCTGGCAGAGGGGCTGGTGATGGAGCAGCCAAATCTCCTCCCCGGTGATGCAGCAGGCAACCATTGGGGGAGCTGCAGCAGAGAAGGGACAGCTACAGCTCAGTGCGCTCCCAAAGCTGGGGAGGCAGCGCCTGCTCCCCTGGGACGGGGCTGATCCAAACACTTTGGAGATACCGTCCCAGTGAGGCACATCTTCAGTTCCTCTTCTAATGCCCCTGTCCTATTTAATACAGCCACCCCCAGGGCCATCCCAGCTTCCCCTTCGCCTGCCCTCCACAGAGAGCCTGGACCGGGCACCCTGGCTTAACTGGAAAGCTCCCTCTCCCCTGCCTGCCATGGACAGTCCCACGTCCTCTGCCCTCTCACTCACACTCGGACGGCCTTCTGGAGGTTCCCGCTCTCGAATCTGGATTCAAAGAGCAGGGTGGTGTCCTCTGGACCTTCCAAGCTGATGGCGGGTGACGTGATGGGCCCTCGCGCGCCCTCCAACGCGGGAGCAGGTAAAATAGGAGCCTTTGGCCACTGCCGGGAGAGGAGATGCCCTTGTCACACCTGCAGCCTGTGCTAGACCCAGCTCCCTGCGGCATGGCCCTTGTTCAGAATCCCACTCCCCTCCGATGCAGGGCGGGGGAATTTGCTCATACAGCGACTCAGGCTCTGCCCCAGTACAAGGCAGGGAACCTCTGGGCTGCAAGTGCCCAAAGCATCCCCCACTACTGAGCAAACACCCCACTGCAGCTAAACCCCTCGCTTCCCCTGCTTCACGTCCCTCACCCTCAGGCATTTTTCCCCTGACACACACGAGACAGCCCCTCGCTGCTTTCTCTGGGCTCCATAGGGGGCAGCCTGGAATCCCCAAGCCATGATTAGGGAGTGCCAATAATAATGACCCCTAGCTTTCCATCCATAGATCTCAGAGCTCCTCACAAAGCAGGTCAGTGTTACTGTCCCCATTTCACGGAGTGGGAAACCGGCACAGGGAGGTGACGTGACTTGCCCAAGGTCACTCAGCAGGCTAGGGAACAGAACCCAGGTCTCCTGAGTCCCAGCCCAGTGCTCTATCTGCTATGAGACACTGCCTCTCCTGCTGATGCTTGCTGCCAGGATGAGAGTGGATAGTGGTGTGCCAGTATCACATTGGCCCCCACTCTCAGGATTGGAGAGAGCGCAGAGGGATGGAGACAGAGCATGGGCCTGCTCCTGCGCCCACCTCCATGGCTTGGCCTGCAAGAGTAGTAGGGCCGGATCACGATCCTGGTCTGAGCATCTGCCTCATGGGCTGCAGGAAATGGGACTTACGTACCAGGCACAGACACATCCTTGTTACGATGCGTCTGCATCTACACAGTAAAAAATACCCACGGTGGCGAGTCTCAGAGCCCGGGTCAAGCGATTTGGGTTTGTGCCATGGAGCAGTGTAGATGTTCCCACATGGGCTGGAGACGAGCTCCAAGACCTTCCCACCTCGCCAGGTTTCACAGTCCAGTTCCAGCCCAAGTGAGAACATCTACACCGCTGTTTTTAGTCCCGAAGCGTGAGCCCCGCAAGCCCAAGGCAGGTGACCCAGGTTCTGAGATTCACTGCTGTGGGGCTTCTTCTTGCTGTGTCGACACAGTAAGAGCCCCAGAGGCAGCACTGCTCCAGGATGGGCTATGTGTGGACACGAGTCACTGGAGCCAGCCCCCAAAGATGGCCACACTTAGGCTTGGTCCACATTTTAAAGTTACATGGGCGTAGTTACAGCCATCAGCAATATGAGAAAACCACAGCCCTGCCCAACATAGCTGTGCCGACAACACCCCTGTGTGGACGCAACAACGCCGAGGGAAGACGGCTTCTGCTGACGCAGCTAACGTTGTTTGGGGAGGGGGTACTCCTGCACCGACAGAAAAACTCCTTCTGTCGGGATAGGCTACACCTCCGCTCGGGGGCTACACTGGCAGAGCTGCGCCGGCATAGGCGCCAGTGTAGATAAAGCCAAAGGGTATGTCCATACTGGAGCTGGAGATGTAATTTCAACCCCGGATCACACCTCCAGCTCCAGGGTAGATGTAGCCCAAGTTTCCACTGTTAGAGCAGGCATGTCACGCAAGGCAGCTCTAAGCTGGGCACAGAAGGGTTAAGAAGAGTTCACTGGGAGGGCAGGGCTGGTTCACTGGAACTGGATGTCAAGAGTTGTGCTTGCTGAAGGAGCAGAGGGGGGTAAAGAACACCCTACATGCCCTTGGGAGCTATTGTGAGTACCCTCGGGGACACCTGGCTGCTGCCCAACCTCAGCCTCTCTCCTAGGGGATGGTTAGAAAACCAGTAAGAAACTTGGGCCCTGCTAACTGGAGGCTGCTGGGCAGTGACTGGTGGCCATTTCCCATCTCACAGAGCCAGCAAGCCGCTTATGAGCTGAGATCTCCAGAATCTGCTTCCTGCTGCAGGACAACAGATTAGACAGGATTCAACTCCTCAACAGAGAGACACATCAGGCTGTGGGATCACTCCTGTAGGGAAGGGGTGGGAGCCACATTGCCATGAACATTTGCCGCTAGAAAACATAGCACAGGGAACAGTCCTGTATTGGGACCTCTGGGTCTTTCCTACCCCAGCGGTGATCTGGGAATGAGGCGTGCTCTAGAAAAGCCAGCATTCAGTCATTTATAGAGGCCTCAGCCACTGAGATCCAGCACGTTCAAGTTTTATGGTTTGACCAATGATTTCCCAATTAATGCCTGAGCAGGTCAACATTGGCTTCATTGGGCTTTGGATCTGGCCCTGGGTTAGTTTCATGTCTCACGCGCTGGAGATGAGAATTGTGTAGATCTGTCACCCGAAGTGTAGAGCAAGACTTTCTGTATGCAGCCAGAACCCCGAGTGTTTCACATGAAAACAGGGAGCTCTCGTCCCACGCAGTGTCGGAACCGGAAAGGAAACGACACCTTACAGTCAGTGTTCTCAGAGACCAGCCAGGCACGGCTCAGCCCTGCCCCAGAGCAGGTCTGAAAGGGGCTTTACAGACTCCTGGATTCCACGCCCAGGTTATCAGTGTTGTTAGTGTATGAGCCCATACCTGGCTTTATGTGATAGACCACGGTTCCTTTCTCCTTCCCCACAATTAGTGGGGCTGTCTCATTTCCTGTGGACTGATAGAATGGCTCCGGTTCAGACGGCACCCACTCTGAGGAGACAGGGGGAATGGTTCCAGTTATTATTGCAGGGGTTTCAGATGAGAACCTGCCCTACAGGGTAAAGAAATGTGCTCTCCTGAAAAGAGCTCTGAAGCCCCTGTGCCATGTAGTAATAGAGCGAAAGGCATGACCCTCCCCACATGTTCATTCTCAGCTAGTGTCCTCTCTTCCACACCGACAAGCCTGTGATTGTGATGACCCTGTGATTTTTAATAGTCCAGTAGGGGTCTGTGTTGGGAAGGAGGCCAACTGGGTAGAGTAAATCTGCTCTGAAGGGGAAACACCTGGGCAGTGACAGAACAGCCTGATTTCAGACCCAGCCAGTCCCCTTTTGAAGATGTGACAGTCAATCGTCCTCCACAGAGTTTTAATGCAAATGCATGGAGTTAAGGGGCAGACCCACGGCCCTGTCTGCTCGCACCTTTCCTGGGTTTCATCCCCCAGACTCACCTGTGGGAAAAGCAGGAAATGCCCATTTCAGGTCCCCCACAAGAACGGGAGACCCCAAGGGCCAACAAATACTGGCTGGAAAGTTCTGCGCAGAGAGCACCAATTTGACTGCTGCGGAGGCAGAGAATTCTGGGTAATGCTGGGCCTTAGCCACGTCTCTCCCAGGGCTGACCAGCCTCCCCATGCCACAGAGCCCAGCTTAACCCAACACGAAACGATTCATCACACAGAGGGAGAAGTAATCTGGTTTCTAGTGCCACGATTACTCCGCTAGGGCCCCATTGGCTGGCTGGGAGGCAGACACAGCACTCTGACCTCTGGGCACCACATTCCCTGGCAGGGACTGAAAAACGAAGTGGAGCCAGAGGAGAGAAGCAAGAAAAAGATGAGCCAGCAAGGGGAGCTAAACAATGCCAAAGGCAGGGGAGCGTTCGCTGGGTGGATCCATCCCGGAAAGAGGGGGATTCCAGAGAACAGGGAAGATTGACGAGCCAGGGGGCAAATGGCAGGAAGGGACGTGCTAGACTGAATGTCGGGCTGATGACAGCGCGATGCACTAGGCCATGGAACAGTCTGTCCAGAGAACTGGGGAGTCTCGGTGCTGGGGACTCTAACTAGACCCAGCAACGAGAGAGAGAAATGAATGGCTCTCTTGGCCAAAGCACACCTGAACAGGTACAGGGTTTCAGCGAGGCTCTTTGGGGTGGAATTTTATTCTTCCCAAAGGAATTGAAGGCTTGTGTGGGTGCCTTGTGAAATGAAGCCTGACAGGTCTGTGCAATTTGCTGGGCAGGGTTTCATGGGTTAATGTTACCTGGTTAGCCATTAACACAATTGACCAGGCTCCTGTGGGCTCACCATTCAAGTGTGAAACCTCACTGCAGCCTTTACCCTATTGGGGACCTTATAATTGCCCCAGGAGCTCCCAGACCTCCCTGAGAGCCCCGATCCACACGCTTATGCAACAGGTGCAATACCACTTGCTCATCCCAAGTCAGACCCCCAAAATCATGAGTTTGGCTTAAAAATCATGACATTTGACAACCTCCTCCACTTGGGGCTCTTGTTCTCTAACATCTGGTGTCAGCGCTGTTCAGGGTCACAGTCTAAAGCTTTTCTCTGCGACCATGAGGGCTATGAGCATCCTTTATTAAAATGGATACTGAGCTTCTCATGCAGTCATGTGATTCCAGGATCTGGAGCTTTAGGAAACACACCATCCATTGCAGGAGCTGGCAACATTGCTAGCGCCAGAGACCTGATGGGCTGGGGAGCTCC